TAGCTCAGTTCTGACACTTTATGTTTTGGAAGAATGAATAATGTTGGTATTAAAACTACTACAGCAAGGGGCTTGTCCATAGTAACTCTCGTGGCCTTAGGTTCGCCTGCCAGCGTAGAAACCATCTCGTATGGAATTTAGGTGGATGAGGGCTTTCTGCTGAGGAAAGTAGTTCATGTGCTGATTGTTAAGTAAGAACTAGAAAATCATGGTACAGAACCCCTGGACACTTCACACACTGAGCTGCTTGGCTTAGGCAGTGTATAGACTTAAACCTCCGACATGAAGTTACTAACTTGGACAACTGGTTCTCTGTCCAGGTACTTGTTCACTAGGTTTCCCTCCTCCAGCTACGTTGCCAAATTCCATCTTACCTTTGTGCTGAACTTTGTGTGCTCCTAGAATCAACTTTATGCTAAGCCAATCTGTGTGTTTGCTCTGAAAGACTGGAAAGAGAAAACAATAAATCTTTGCCAAACCCCTCAGAGACTACTGTATTTACATATGGCTTAAAACCAAACTCATGAGAGCTTTTTGATTAAACCTGTCTCTTCCCCATTGTATGAGTTACATTTTCTATGACCCAGTTTTTTAAAGGCAGCCTTTAGTAACCTGTATATATGCTGTTCTGTATTTGTCTCACTTTTCCACATTTAGTTTGGTTGTGTTAAAATAAATCTAACATTGTAATTGTTAAAAAAAAAAAAAGAGAGAGAGAGAGAGAGAGAGAGCTGCCATGCCAAGGATGACTTCTCCGGCAAGCTCCTCTCTTTCTGGTAACTCTATTGGGAGAATAGCAGACCCAGAAGATTCAGTCATTCCTACTGGTGACTCATCTTAAGCTTGGTTTTCTGAGAATTTGTGTTGCAAAACAAAGCGATTATTTTACTTACCAAAGGAGGGGACCAGGAAACAAGAATGCAAGATTATTGGAGGGAGCATATTCAGTTTAAGAGGTGCCCTCACTCCACACTCCAAACCCCTATCTCCCCTCTCCTCCACCTTTTACCTATTACTGCCTTCCCCAGATTCTTATCATTGAAGATAAACAGACCCCAGATAAATCAGCCTACACTGCAAACAATATAGGCTTCAAAAGGCAAATGGAGTTCTGTTTTTATATTATGAAAACAATGCTTGGTCATTATAGAAAAAGAAAAGAATAAAAGTCACTGAGAATTCCTACTGAAACAACCAATTTTAATATTTGAGATATACTTATCTATTTTATCATTTCCAAAATGGTGTGTACTTATATCTATTTTTTCAATTTGATAGAAGCTCACATAGACCTGTAATATAAGCATTTCCCTTGTTGCTACTATTGTTTAATGAAATTAATTTTATTGGTTGTGTGGATGTATAAACAGAAGAGTCTAGATGAGAAGTGCTGAGGCACAGAAGGAATCAGTACATCCATCATCTGGATCCATATCATCGGTGGCTTTCAGAACAGAGAGCTTCAGGACTCCTGGAGATAACTCTGAAAGAGTCCTCCCCTTCCTTGGAAATGCAGCATCCCCTTGTCCTTTCCAAGGGAAATTCAGGCCAGGAGACACCATATCTTAGCTTTTCTCATTCTCTTCCCCAAGTCCCAGGGCAAGACAGTAGAGACTAAGCAGTGTTCTGGTAGTCTGGGGATTCTGGTTCTTCCTCCGGACCTTCTGGGTGCTGGAGAAGTGAATAGGTGACTGTCTTCTCAGCCTAGAGAAAACAGAAAGGAGCAATAGGGATTCACAGAGAAGTCACAGGAAAGAAAGCAACAGAAGTGTGTGTGGGTGGGGGATGGACATTGTGTGTAGAGGGGTAGGGAATGGAAGAGAAGATGGCTGGGATGGCTCACCTCAACTTTGGCAGCTTCCTCATCATCAATGAAATTGGCTGCAGGCAAAAAGAACAGAGATCAGCCAGGGCACCGCTGTAGAAGAGGGCCTATACATGCTGCTGCTATGGGCATAAAACTAATGCCCAAACCCACTTGAGGAGAGGGCCTCGCCAACCCCAACCACGACCTTTAGGCCAAGAGCTGAGTAAATATGGCCTCATTTACCACCTACCCTCTGTATCCCAGACACAGCCTCCCCTACTGGCCACACTGGCAAAGGGAAGTAGTCATTCATGCCACATGCTTTTTGGAGAATTGGTAAGCTATCCTCAAAGCAAAGCAGGAAGCTTCGGGGATCTGGGATATTGGGGAAGTGGAGATAATCAGTATTGGAATGAAATGAAGTCCAAATTTTTGCTGACCACAAACTTCAGGGAGAGAAGACTGTGGGCAATTTCCATACAGGCCAAATGTTAGAATCTTTATTGGAACTCTGAAGAATCTAATACTCACTCTGTGACATTAAAAAGAAAGAACGAGAGAGAGTGAGAAGGAAAAGAAAGAACTTTCTCGGGTAAGTATTCAAAACACACCAAATTCCCTGACTGTTTTATACCAATAAACTCTTTCACTTTGCCAGTGTGTGAAGCTGCCTCAGTATCAGCAAGTCAGCGCCCCTCAGGAAGTTGGGGAGGGAAGTAAGACAATGCACCTAGTCTCTTCATTTATCCCTGGACACAAAGAGTCTCTGTTTGCCATCAGCCCCAGTGCCCAGCTGCATAAATGTCTTGTGAAATATGTTTATATCAGTGTAGATAGAACCAAACATCAAGGCAGCTAATCCAGTTGTTCTTGAACTTTTTTTTTTTTTTTTTTTCTATATCTTAGCCTAGTGCCTAAGGCACTTGACTGCTAACCAGAAGGCTGGCGTTCAAACCCACAAGCCACTCCTCGGAAGAAAGGTTGGGCAATCTACCTCGGTAGTGATACTGCCTCGGAAACCCAAGGAGGGGTCGCTATGAGTCGGGGCTGACTCAACGGCACATAACAACAACAAACAACATATCTGATTTGGTCACAGTGCAAATCCAAGCCTATATCCCCACTTGGCCTAGCCAAGGGAAATAGGGCCCTTGCTCAAAGCACAGTCAGACAGAGGGTACTTTGCTCAAGCTCTCAAATCTATTGGCTCTGCTCTGAGTCACACTCCAGCCACCTGAGGTAGAGTCCTCAATGGTCTCTTTTTTCTGCTTGTTTCTGCTGTCATAGGAGCCCCCAGAGAAAGCTCCAGGTTCTTTCAAGCTTTGGCTTAATAAGTGTCAGGGAGTTGTTTGGACTACTTCTACTCTTTTTATACTATCTGGGTCAGGAGTTGTATTCTCAAAAGCTCAGACATGAGAGGGTTTAGAGTTCATCCAAGCCAAACCCACTCATTTCCTCAGAGAAGTTACTAAACTCCATGAGGGGAAGTGGCTTGCTCAAGATTTCCTTGAACGATGGTGACAGATCTAGGGCCAGACCCATATCCACTAAACTTACATAAATGAACATTAAAGCCAAGCATTGCCCCCAGAGTAAAGCCAAATCATGTCCCTAGTGTCCCAGAACATTTTTCAAGCTCAAATCACCTCTTAATATTCCATTAAGAGCTAAGCCCTACCACCCACACCTATATTACTCCACAGAAACAGATTCCTCAACAAGTCTAGGGTTTTTTCCTGAGTCTCCTTCTCCCTTCCTTTTAGAATCCTACCCCCTTAGTACCATTTGCTTCAGTCTTTCAACTCCCAAACCCCATCCTTTGCCAGCTGTGCCAAAGCCCTACAGAAAGACCAAACTATCTCCAGTTTTCTGTGCTGGACATATCTCTAGCGTTCCTGGACTCAGAAATTGGGACACAGCCTGCCCCCTCAGTATCTGAACACAGATGTTCCTCATCCCTTCATCTCCAGCAAAGTCCTCTGTAGGGCTAAGAGTTAGACTCAGAGCTGACCAAGAGATTTGAGTCCCTGCCCTCAACCCATTGTCCCTCCCTCGCCTGTGATCCCAGATAAACTCACACAAGCCAAATCTTGCTGGCTCCAATCCATTTGGCAGCCCTCGGTGGGGCATCACTGGGCCCCTACAGTGGGAGCTATACTCACCTGGTTCCTCAGGGAGGGTCACTCCCATTTCCCTGTGCTCAGGGTTTCCTAGGAGAGCTAGGAGGGGCACATAGGAGGTTAGTAGGATTACGGGTGGGGACTGAGTTCTCAGGATCAAGGACCAGGAAGGGATAGGACTGGTTAAGAATCAACATAGACCGTTCCCTCTCACAGATGCCTTGTCTCCTCCCCACTCCTCAGTCCCTCTGTTCAGGGGCTGCCCTAGCCTATAAATGAGTTCCTTCAGAGAGAAAGAAATCTGTAATTATGGAGACTTCTGGGAGTGTTGGAGAGCCCACTCCATTACATCCTCCTTAGACTTGCTCTGTCTTATTAAAAATAAATAAATGAATAAATGCATCACCTCTTTCCCCCTCTCAGATTCTTCTTCATATCTCTGTATTATCAGTAATTGAGGTATTGGCTATGAACCAACTGCAAAATTTTCTGGTGGCTTAGTGCCTAAGACCAGAAGGTTGGCAGTTCAAATCCACCAGCCACTCTGTTGAAAGAAGACTGGACAATCTACTTCCATAAAGATTTACCACCTCAGAAACCCAAAGGGGGACACTATGGATTGGAATCAACTTGATGGCAGGGAGTTTGGGGTGGTTTTTTTTTTTTTTTTTGATTATTATTACTATTTTCTTTCTCTCTGTGGCTCCAAGTCTTTTATTTTTACTCCTTTACTTTGTGTCCCAGTGTCTTTAGCACTCTTTCTCTCCCTCAGGAATTGTGAATTTTGATGATGTTCTTACTAGATTTCTGTGGTACCCTCCCTTCTCCCTCAGCTCTTCTACATTAATACTAAGGAGGAACAAAGCTGCCTTCTAAGAGTGAAGTTCTTCAGTTAGTCAGTCAGTGAATAAATATTCATTGAACAACTTGCTGTGTGCCAAGTACTGTGCTAGGTGCTGAGGAAACAAGGGAGAGATATGGTTTCTGCTCTTAGGAAGTTTACAATCTTGCCATAGCCTTTGGAACAAAGCTCAAGTTCCATAAGATGGCCTAGCTGGCCTCCATCTTTCTAGCCTATCTCTCCTCTCTTTCTGCCTCACGATTTATTGTTTTGACAGCATCAAACTGCTTACAATACCCTCATTACTTCTCCCCCAAGCCTCATCTTAGCCACAGTGTTCCTCATTTCCATGCTTTTGTTCCCCACACCTGGGATGATCTTCCAGTCAGTCCCCTTTGCCTGTCTAAATGCTATACTCAAGCTCCCCTGCTCCATAGTGGTTAACAGCTTATACTTATGTGCTATTTACTATATATTAGCCTCTCTTTAGGAGCTCTGGTAGCACAGTGCCTAAGGCACTTGACTGTTAACCAGAAGGCTGACAGTTCAAACCCACCAGCCACTCCTCGGAAAGAAGGTTGGGTAATCTACTTCCGTAGTCATACTGCCTCGGAAACCCAAGGAGGGGTCACTATGAGTCAGGTCTGACTTGACGGCACATAACAACAACAGCCTCTGTTTGGAGCCCTGGTAGCATAGTGGTTAAGTGCCCAGCTACTAACTAAAAAGTTGGTGGTTGGAATCTACTAGCCACTATGCAGGAGAAAGATGTGGAAGTCTGCTTCCGTAAAGATGTACAATCTTAGAAATTTAGAAACTGCCCATCAGGCAGTTCTACTCTGTCCTATAGGGTCACTATGAGTTGGAATAGACTCAGTGGCAATGGGTAGACATTGTTCACGCACTAGCCTCATTCATCCTCACAACAACCACGTGAGGTGAATTCTATTATAATGTCCTCTTTTTCCGAATGAGGAAACTGAAGCACAAAGTGGTTAAGCAACTCACCCAACCAAGGTCACATAGCTGGTGAGCTACAGAGCTCAAATTTGAACCCAGGCAGTCTGTCTCCAACACATGTGCTTCAATCACTGTACTTCCTCCCCTTGAAAACTTCTCTAAATGCTCAGCTGTATGCTGGGTTATGTGGCCTCCTCTGTACCCCCATCACAGCCTTTGCTTTTTTCTATCATTGTCCTTATCCTATGTTATCATAATTATCTATTTGTGATTCTATCTTCCCCACAATACTACAGACTCTTTGAGGGAAGGGACTGGACTTCATTATCTTGGTGTCACCCACAGTGTCTAGTACAGTTCTTAACACATAAGCAAGTTAATTCAATGTTTGTTGAATGAATGAAATATGGTGCTATATCTGAATGCTAAGATTTATCTTGTCCAAAGACAGGCGTTCTGGAAAAGGCTGAGGATAGGGTTTTGCCCAAGTGGGAACTGATAACAGAGCTAAAGGAAACTACAAACCTGAACTCCGCTTTCGCCGGAGACGGAACAAGGTTACTACGGCAGCAACAATGGCCACTATAGCAATCCCAGAAACCACAGCTGCAATTGTCATCTCCACTGAAGACATCGAGTTGTTAGACCCTGGAGAAGAGCTCAAGTTATTACACCACGGGACAGGCAGTACTATTCCTGTCCCACCTCCACCTCCCCATCCTCCTCCAAAGCTGTGCCCCAGTGCTTGTCACCTGTAGCTGTTTTGTGCCTGGGTCACTCATGGGTGTAACACTCTCTTCTTCCTTTAAACCCATACTGCACAAGGTTTCTATGGCTGAGCTTGTGTCTTCCCCACACCCAGGTGTTTCCACCAAATTAATGAGGCCTTGGCACATTGGTGGATGTGCAGGGGCAGAGGGAAGTGTTCCTCTCAGTCTTCAGGATAGCAGGGAGAGTGGGCATGAAGGCTCCCTTTGAAGGAGACACTATTGCTATATCAAGCACAGCACTGAACTGTCCAAGACATGTCAGGCCTTCGAGAGTGATTGGACATAACATGAGGCATGGAAGAGACCAGGCAAACCTCAGCTCCTAGGAATGTCCAGGAGTTTAGGGAACCGCTGAGGGAGACCTGCTGTTGTATTTGTATGGAGCCTTCATTTCAGAGGGGGGACAATAGCCTTGTCACCTCTTATTTAGAAATATAAGAACTCAGGAGTCTACAGAGCTCAGAGCTCTGGCCCCTACTCTTGGATCTGACTAACTCTCAGCAAGGCCCCCACATTTGTTCCCAGTGTCCAACTTTTTTGTGGAGGCATTTCTGAGATTTTTGTGTAGGCCCCTATAACCTTAGTTCTAAATAACCATCTACTCTTTCCCCTCTCTACATCTTTTTTTTTTTTTTTTTTCTCATTGTTACTGTTTGTTTGGTTTTGTTTATTTTGTTGTTTTTTTGAGAATACACACAGCAAAACACACACCAATTCAACAGTTTCTACACATACAATTCAGTGACATTGATTACATTCTTTGAGTTGTGCAACCATTGCCCCTCTTTACATCTTGACAAAGTTCCCCACACCTTGGACAGTGATGGTCACAGGCTGTGAGTGGTGCAGCTGCCCTAGTACTCCTGTACAGTGGTAATCTCCACTGTGACTGACATTTGCTCGTGGGATAGAGAAGTTAGAATTTGCATGAGAATACTTCTTGGATTTTCCATTCTGGAAGAATGTGACCTTGTACAGAGGCTTGTTCCTCCAGCTGTGGCATCTCAGCACGATGGGCTCTCCCTCCTCAAACACCAGGTGAGGGGTCTGGAGTAGCAGCCAATCTGAAAGATACAGAGAGACCACAGGACCCAGGATGTTTTGGCTCAATTCTGGGACCTAGACCAGCCTTACTGGTGGGATATGATGTATGGTGGAAATAGGTCAAGTTTGGAATCAGGCAATATTAATCCCAAGTTCTTACTCCATCATTTATGAGCTCAGAATTATTGGGAAAGTTATTTAATTCTAGAGTCCAAGGGTGGCACAAATGTTTGAACAATCGACTACTAACCAAAAGGTTAGTGGTTTGGACCCCCCCCCCCCAGAGGTGCCTTAGAAGAAAGGCCTGGTGATTTGCTTCTGAGAGTTCACAGCTTTGAAAACTATATGTAGCACAGTTCTACTCTGACACACATGGAGTTGCCATGAGTCAGAACTGACTCTATGGCAACCGGTTTGGTTGTTTTGAAATTTACCTCTTCTGAGCCTCAGTTTCCTCATCTGTGAAAAGGGCCATAATAATACCATGTGTCTACAATAGTTCCTGGCACACAGGAGGGGTTCAGGATATACTCATCTCTTCTTTTCCAGGAGAGGGCAGGAGATAAACCCAGGTGGAGCCCTGTCCTGAACCCAACAAGCCTCTGCAGAAGGATACAGAAGACTCCCAAGATGTAGCACTTCTCTGAGAGAATGGGGTGAATCCAGTCTAACAGAAAAGACAGTAGGTGAGGAGATAGAGCACAGACAGCAGAGAAATGTGTCTTTGGAGATAGTAGAAAGTCATGGGCATTCAACAAACATTAGTTTATTTGATGAATGTTAGTAAATAGTAGCACCTTCATGTCAGCAGAGTATTCATTTAAAGGCAACAGCGTCACAGGTAATTAACTTGATATACACTTTTTGAGAAAATCTGGAAATCAGGCAAGAAGAGGGGATCAAGTGAAGAGAAATAATGTATCCATCTTAATCACAGGAGCTCTTGTGGCGTAGTGCCTAAGGCATTAGACTGCTAAGGCATTGGACTGCTAACCAGAAGGCTGGTGGTTCAAACCCACTAGTCATTCCTCAGAAGGAAGGTTGGGCAATCTACTTCCATAGTGATACTGCCTTGGAAACCCAAGGAAGAGTTGCTATGAGTCGGACCTGACTCAATAGTTTTTTAGTTTTATCTTTATAGAAAACCTACTTTGTGCCAGAAGTTTTATAAAATCATTAATCTGTTCAGCAAGCACTTATTAAGTTCTGCCCTGTGTCAGGGACTAGAAATACAAAGATTAGGAAGACACAGCTTTCACCTCAAGTTGCCCATGGTCTGGTGGAAGAGAAAGACAAGGCACAGAAGAGCATTGGGGACTCTGAGAGCATGGAGAAGGAGTGGGGAAAGCGATAAGGAAACAGAGTCTAGGGTTAATAAAGTCATCATCGTTACATGGCTAGTAACTTCCAGAGCCAGATTCAGCTGTGGTCTGATGCCAACCTTGTCTTTTTCTACTCTGCCATTAGATTGGAAGGGTTTTTATGGAGTAAAGATTTCCTTCTGCTTCTCTCACATGTTTGTGGTCTTGTGATCTTTCTCAATCAGGAGGGGGCAAAAATCATCATTAATAGATTTGGAGGAATGTCATAGAAACTTCCACCCCCACCACACATGCTGAGAAAGGAGGTAGATGGAAAGGGAAATGAGTGGACAAAAACTGCTTCCAACAACTCACAGTGATGCTTCCCAGTAAACAAGCCACCACCCCTTCTTCCTGAAAGCCTCTGCAATGTAAGCAGATTGCATCTCTCCCTGTCCTCCCAAACCCTTCCCAGGTTGCCCTCCACTGACCAGAAGATACATCCAGCTGCACAGGGTCGCTGAGGCTGGTCTGGCCTATCTGGCACCTGTACTCCCCGCTGTCATTGATGGTGGCCTTAAAGCTGTAGCTGGGCTGGACCTGAGTTGGGATGAGGCTCCCTCTGTGGAACCACTGGGTGGAGTCGTCCCCAAGGGTGTGAGTCCCTTGGCACTTCAGAGTCACGTTGTCCTCTCGGAGGACATTGACCCATGGTGGCTCCAAGTTCACCACTGCCTTTGGAAGATCTTCTGAGGAGCAGAGAGAAAGGGAAGTATAAGAGAAGGAGACTGAGCAGGCCCTGAATGTCAAACAAAGAAGAACCTACAGTCCTACTGAGGACAGCAATAGTGGAGCCAGATCTAGAACTGGTCTGCAACCTTTTACTCACACATCCCACCATGAGGCCTGAGAACCTAGGTCTCCTCAGGGAGCTCCTCTCCCACTCAGAAGCAGACAGCATCTTGTTGCCATTGATTTAACTCCGACTCATGGCAAGTCCACGTGTTTCAGAGTAGAAATGTTGTCCTTAGGATTTCAATGGTTATAATCTTTTGGAAATAAATCACTAGGCCTTTATTCCAAGGTACCTCTGGGTAGGTTAAAACTGCCAACCTTTCAGTTAGTAACTTTAACCCAGAGAAGTTGCATCACCCAGGGAAGAATATATGTATAAAATCTCCACAGGTTATACTAACCAGTTCCTTCTCTGTGTGTGAGTAGGTGTGTGTGTGTCTTTGTGTCTCTCTCATCCAGGCACACACACACATCTCACATGTAATAATCTTTTGGGGTTCACTTTCCACCACTGTAAACAAACTCTCTCCAGAGCTGACTGAAGATAAATGCATGCATCTTGTGGAGATGTCAGGCTTGGGAGTCAGATATCACCTTTCTGTTTGAACACAATGTCATTCCTTATCCATTAGGAAGGAGGGCAGGATGGCCCCTCCTCAACCAAGTACAGAGGAGCCTCTGTGGCCTCAGAAGCATAAAGAGAGAGGGAGGGAAGTCTTAGGAGCCCTACCAGCTGGGCTGACTTCCTAGCAAGGTGAGTGGTACAAAGAAAGAAGTGCCTAGCAATGTCCTCTACACCAAGCTACAACCAGAGGCATCTCCCTCTCTCTCTGCAAGGTAACAGCCCCAAAGAGCCGTGCAAAGTAGAGGATTTAGCAACACATGAGCACAACCTAAGGAGATCATGTGGTTTTGTATGAGGCTGAAACTAAAATTGCTGGGCTCTTGATTTTATTTTAAGGCGTTCTGGTGGTGTCGTGGTTAAGGCATTTGGCTGCTAAACAAAAGGTTGGCGGTTTGAACCCATCAGTCACTCTGCAGAAGAAAAATAAGGCCATCTGCTTCCGTAAAGATTTACAGCCTTTGAAATCCAACGGGGGTTGCTATGAGTTGGAATGGACTCAATGGCAGTGATGGTTTTGTTTTGTTCCGTTGATTTTATTTGGAGAAAGGAAGGCAGTTGAACAAGAGAACAGAGTTCTCGTTTTCTGTGACAGTATCTGTGATATCTCACCATCATAGAACCAGAAGGGTTGAAGCACTTGTGCATAAGGGTGCTCACCATCCACCTTCCTGGGAAGAGGGGAAGGAGAGAAGGATAAAGGGCAAGGCATCTTCCAGGAGCAATTGCCCTTTCCTGATTGTGGTGCCAGGCTCTGGTTAGCTGATGCACAGGGCAGTGGGAGTAGAGGAGGAGTGTGGCTGGGGGAGGGAGAGGATGTGGGTTCAGCACTTACCAGATGTTCCAGCAACAGGAACTGTAAGAGAGAAAACAAAGATCAGCCCAGTCTGAGTCTCAACACCAAGATATCCCTGCCCTGGTAAGGAGCCTAGGTCTAGAAGACATCTTCATCCCACCCATAGCAAAGCCCAGCATCTCCTGTGACTGCCTAAATGAGGAAGACTTTCAAAAAGATTGAGAGCTCCTACCCCAGCCACAGAAGAAAATGGAACAAAATAATATAAAGCCAGCCTTCTCTCATCTGTTTTGTGATACTTCCTTTTGGTTTAACATTTTTGACTACTTAAATTCAAAATGTCTCTGAAAGGAGATCCCTGTCCAGCGTCACATATGATTTACACTTCATTGTAATGATTTTGTCAGAGTCTGTCCTAAGAGCAAGATTTGTTATTCTGTGAAGGAGGAGGAAAAGAGGTGTTCAGTAGAGGATTACATAGGTAACCCAGATCCATGATCACTGTAGAGAAAACAGAAAGCACACATAAGCAAACATTTTGGTATACATCCTTTTGGATTTTTTCCAAAAACATACACATGATGTACACAATTAGACATATATAAATGAAAAATGAAGATATTATGTAAAAACTGTTCTCTAATTTGATTTTTTACTGAGCAATACAAAGTCTAGGAGATGAATTTGTTTCTCTCTGGCATTTTTAATGACTCTAATATATCCCACTATTTGGGTATCTATGATTAAATTAACATTCCTATGGCTTGACATTTCAATTGTAACACTTTTTTGCTATTATAAATATATAATAGAATAAGATGGAGACTGCAACAGGACACCAGATATATATCCTCAGATGGGGGGAAAGGGGAGTGCTTGTGGTGAGGGAAAGATTTTCCCAAGTGGAAAACATTATGAGATCTAGGAAGGCCCAGGAAAATTTAGTAGAAGTAGGGGAGGGGAGATTTATGGGCACTATTATTGGGTGAAGGAGTTCCTGGGTGGTGCAAATGGTTAAGCACACTACAACTAACTCAAAGGTTGGCAGTTTGAACCCACCCAGAGGTACCTCGGAAGGCCTGCAGATCAGCTTACAAAATGTCATATGTTTGAAAACGTTATGGAGGACAGTTCTACTCTGCAGCACACAGAGTCGCCATGAGTCAGAATCAACTCAACTGCAATAGGTTGGTTGTTTGATATTATTGGATGAAGAAGTGAAGTTAGATCCTTAGCTAAATTAGAGCCCAATGTGTGTATGTGTGTATGTACGAGTCCAGTGTGTGTTTTTGACCGTTGGTGAGGACTTTCACTTGTGTTTGTGCTAAGAGAAAGTCAACAAGCTTCTGGACCAAAGTAAAATATGGAAAGAAACTGAAGCAAGAGTAAGGGGTAAGACAAACGTAGGAAGAATGTTGGCTTGGGAGTTTGGAGAACAATATTGGGGTCCTGATTCTGCCACTGCCTTTATATGGACACTTGTACCACTCAATCAATTACATATTATTATTATTATTTTGATTTGGGTAGAAGTTTACAGAGCAAATTCATTTTCCATAAAGCAGTTATGCACATTTTGTTTCATGACATTGACTGCAGTCCCCACACGGTAAGAGCTCTCTTCCCACTTCCTTCCTGCAGTTACCTCTTCCCTGAGTCGTCCTTTCCTGTGCATTCATGCCCCCTGAGCTATCCCCTTATGCAAATACTGTCCTTCTGTTCTCCCATGACTGATATTCTAACCATAACCGTAACCCTAACCCCTCCTTGGATTTCTGAGGTGATATCAGTATGGAAGTAGATTGCCCAATCTTCCTTCCAAGGAGTGGCTGGTGGGTTTGAACTGACAGCCTTCTGGTTAGTAGTCAAATGCCTTAGGCACTATGCCACCAGAGCTCTTAAGGAGTGTATCTACCTGATGTAAATATTCACCCTATATGCCTGTCTATTGTTTCACTGAAAGCCATAGGAATGAGTTCAGTTCCAGACCTGAAAAGCGACTAGGGGCCATAGTCTTGGAGGTCTCACCAGGCTCTATTAGACCAGTAAACCTGGTCTTATTTTTATTATTATTATTATGATGATGATTTTGAATTTTGTTTCACATTGTTCTCCCACTCTATCCAGGATCTTCTGCACTGATCCATTTCCAAGTGGTTGACAGTGATAGCTAGGCACCATCTAGTTCTTCTGCTCTCATGGTCATATAGGCTGTCACTCCATTACTTTGTAATCCAGTGTAAATCAACAAACCCACATGGGCTCCCTATTGTCTTACAGTGTATGCTGAGTCCACCTAAGGGAAAAATGTTTGCCCTCGTTAAGCCAACAATGTGGAGATGCACATGTATAATCTAATGTAAGAAAAATGTGCTTAACACCATTAGAAGAGTATGGATAAAATGCTGTTGAGATTTAGAGGAGGAAAAGCTCCCAAGGCTCTGCATTTGGTAGGGTTTGGGATTGGAAAGGAGATAAATTCCATGGTGAAAATAGTATTCACCACAGACCTTCATGAGTTGATATGATTTTAACAAATTGAAAAAGGAAGACTGTATTCCATGGGGGGAGCTCTGGTAGCATAGTACCCAAGGCATTTGACTGCTCAGCAGAAGGCTGGCAGTTCAAACCCATCAGCCACTCCTGGAAAGGAAGACTGGGTGATCTACTTCAGTAGTGATACCATCTTGGAAATCCAAAGAGGGGTTCACTATGAGTCAGATCCAACTCGACAGCAGTGAATTTGGTTTGGTTTTGGTATTCCATGGGAAGGACCAGCAGGTACTTAACAACATTCCCAGCAAATTGCAGTCCAACCTCTGCTTGAATTCTGGTCCTTGCTTAAACATCTCCAATAATGAGGGACAAAGCTGAAAAGGGAACAAGGAGTCATACTCTGGAGGGCTCCAAATCTCAGGTAATATGATAGTAAGTAAGAGCACAGGCTGGGTGTAAATGCTCACTCCACCATTGCTAGTTGCTTTTGTACAAAGTACTTAACTTATTTGTGATTCAGTTTCCTCATTTGTAAATGGAGATATTGACAGCATTGCCTTCATAGAGTTGTTGCAAGGATTGAATGAGATAATCTAAATTAGGCATTTGGCTTACTTGCTCCTTGACATATGGTAAAATTTAAAATAAATATACTCAAAAAAAAATTTGTTCCTTAGTTAGTAAACAATGGGAAGTCACAAAATTTTCAAGTAGGAGCTATGTCTGATGGATCGGAAACAGAAAAATATCGAAGAGATTAGTTAAGAAAGAGGTTATTTCAGTGATCCAAAATCCATTTGGATGACCCATTCAACATGTGGCCTCTTAATTCTTTTGGTTTTCCTTCATTCCCTTCCAGGGAACTTTCTTCTACACATCCTAGCCACATATGCCCATGGTTTCCTCAAGACCTTGGCATCACCAGAAATCCTAACTCACTGCCATTGAGGCAATTCGGACTCATAGTGACCCCTCCTTGGGTTTCCAAGGCAGTATCTCTGTGGAAATAGATGGCCCAATATTCCATCCAAGGAGTGGCTGGTGGGTTTAAACCGTCAACCTTCTGGTTAGCAGTCAATTGCCTCAGGCACTACGCACCAGAGCTCCCAGAAATCATACCACTTCCAAAATCAAACATCTCATCCTTTAACTACACCCTCCTCTCCTTTCATTTCATCTGCTTAAGTATCTGCACAATAATTATCTTTGGCCTCATTAAGATTAAGCACTGACTATCATATGATCCAGCAATTCTACTCCTAGGTATATACCCACAAAACTTGAAAGCAAAGACACAAAGAATTGTTCATTGCAGCACTATTCACAAGAGCCAAAAAGCAAAAACAACCTAAATGCTCATCTACATGAATGGATAATCAAAATGTGGTACATATATATACCAAAATGTGGTATGTATATAAAAGGACAAATATTGTATGAGCTCACTTGTATAAAAAGACAAGAAAAGGCAAATGTATAGAGACCAAAATTTATTAGGGGTGGGCAGGAGGGGGAAATGGTAGGTTAACAGTAATAGAAAAACTACATTGATTAAGGGTAGGGTTGCACAGCCAATTATTTTAATTGCTGTCAATGAGTTGTACACCTGTCAAAAGCCGAATCAGCAAAAGTTGTGTGATAGCTATATTTACAACAACAACCCAAAAAAAAAAAAAAGAGTAGGTATAGCTACTTATGTAGGAGCTCTGGTGGCACAGTACCTAAGGCATTTGACTGCTAACCAGTTCAAACCCACCAGTCACTCCTCAGAAGAAAGACTGGGCAGTCTACTTCCATAGAGAAACCTCCTCAGAAACCCAAGGAGGGGTCGCTGTTAGTTGGAACTGACTCAACAGCAGTGAGTTTGGTTTGTTTGTTGTTGTTGTTAGCTACTTATGTACAACCAAACACCTCGTGGGATTTGGTTTCTTTGTTTTGAGGTTTAGGGTCATGACTTCATGGGACATCCCACTTAATTGACCAAATAATGTGTTTAGTGCTTCTTTTCTACCTCCTAATTCATTGCATGGTGTGTGGGGTCTTAAAAGTTTGTAAGCAGGGGTCCAAGACATGACAATTGGTCACTATTTGCCTGGATCAAAGAGAAAGAAGGAGAGTCAGGAATAGGAGGAGGATATGGAATGTGTGGTTAATTGCCTCTGTGAACAACTGCCTCCTTTGCCATGAAACTAGAACTGGATGGTGCCTGGCTACCATTACTGAACATTTTGATCAAAGATTTTATAGAAGAATACAAATACTGATCAAAAGGGAGAAAATGTAGAACAGAATTTCAAGTTCTCACAGACTCCAAACATTTGAGAGCCATGGAGACTGGATGAACCCCAACAACTATTACCCTGAGATAATCTTTAAATGTTAAACCAAAATTATCCTCTGAAGTCTTCTTAAAACCAAACAAAAGTTTGGGCAGTAAGTTTATGTTAATGGATCAGGAAGAACTCAGAAAAGGAGGGTGAGAATTCAGTGTCACTGAGTTGTACATGTAGAAACTGTTGAAATGGTATATGTTTTTGTGATGTGTGTTCTCAACAGCAGCAAGA